CTGAGTACTCCAGAGTCAGTGGTGAGCCTCTTTGCTTTCCGGAGGACTCTGTTATTTTGTGTTCCTAGTTTTGTTTTATTAGGATGTTGCGGGGTCTATCCCAACATCCATCTCAGTGTTATAGAAGCTTCATAGATAGTCAATCAATTAGTATTGAGTCTCTCATCTGTGTATATATATAAATATTCTATTTTGAGACTCGAGTTGCCTTTTGGCCAGATTTTTTATCAGTTAGGTTGCTTTATGACCTTTCATTGCATTGAGTTATTCTGTTGAATTAAGTTTCCGCTGAGTTATGAAAGCCATGCCAAGGGTTCGCTTGGGGGCTAGCAATGGTCTTCGAGTGCCAGTCCCGCCCAGGATGTAGGCTCGGGGCTTGACAAATACTATAGTCGATAGTTGTACACAATCCACAAATTATATGATGTTTTCTTATGAGGTTTTCTTAATTTATCAAATATTTAATTTATGTGATAGTTCAACAATACATAGTTCAAATATGAATATGAGCAACTTCACTTATGATTACAAATACTTCATGCCTTAATGCTTGTGTCTTGTCTTTACAAAATTGTAACCTCCACCATATTACAGTCATATGTTAAAGTTGTACGGAAATTCAATTAACAGATATCTTTAGTTGGATGCATGGGATATTATTGTGATACATTTAAAACTTGGGAGTATTGTAAAAATTTATTGCATCTAAATAAAGGATATGAACAAATTTAACTGAAAATAAAAGAAGCAGAGAGCCCGAAGAAAATTAAAAGTTGTGGGATAAGATTAGGCTATGGATAACGTTAGAAATAATTAATAAGCTGATAATAATCTATAAATATATTTGTTCAAAGTTAAAATTTTTTATTTTGATTACTTTGAGTTTCTGAAGATAGAGAGATAAGTACTAATCAAGCAGTTGGTATACTTCATCCAACAATAATATAAATACCAAATCAGTTTTTTGAAAAGTAAATACAAAGTGAGAAAGTGTTACCAGGCCAATTATGTGGAAGTAATAAGCAAGAAACATGTAAAAGTATTAATAATTACACAAGAAGACAATGAGTTAACCAATGATAACTGTAATTTCTAATCGAACAAAATCTATATAATTGATAGGGATTATATTTTGACAAATATACATATGAAAGTCACAGCAACAAACATTTTCCAAGCCGAAAATCTTAATTAGAGAATTGCTCAAACAAAAGGCTAAAGGTGGAAAGAAATCAAAAACTAAACATGTCGATAAATTAAGTGACATCCAATGAAATTCAAGAGGAAACGAAAGTAACAAAACAAAAGCAATGACATATTAACAGTGAAATAATAGTTGTGATCATACCTGGAAAAAATGTATATGAGAAGAAGACAAATAGAACAATAAAAAGAAAACAACTTATTGTGGACCTTTATAGAGAGCAATTAAGAATATAATAAATTGTGAGGAAAAATTAATGGTTGGGAAAAGGAAAAGTTAGTACAATGTACATTACCTTTAAAGATGCAGTTATATGAATTGAACAGACAACTTTTAGCTATAGAGGTATTACGTTTAACATGAATAGTAAAAAATAATATTATTTGGAAATTAGAAAGGGCAGAACTTTTACATCAAAAAGGAAAAAAAAACAAAAATTGAAGAAAAAGATTAATAAGGATGCTTATTTAAGATTGTAGTAAATAAATTATGTGGGCACATTGAGGGAAGACTGAATATGGAGCATTAAATGAGACTGTTGAACTTCTAAAAAATTAAACAGACAAAAAACACTACTAAACTTTCATTCACTCGCCATTTATGTGATTTTAATATCATTATTTAATTAAATATTTCAATCTTTAGGTAATTAAAATATTATTATTAATTAGATATTTTATTAATTAATATTAACTTATTTAGATATTTTATAATATTTTAAATTAGAATAAGGGTAAAATGGTATTTCAACTTTTAAGTTTGTGACTTCCCACTTTTAGTATAATATGATTTATGTTTTTGTATGCATGAAGAAATGTTGGGTACGTGAGATAATAATAATAATAATCACAGGATAAAATTTGGGATTATCTTTATTTCATGTTTAGTATGACATATTAGCTAATCGGGGATTATTTTATCTCAGTATTTGTACTAAAATGGTGGGATTAATATCGCATAATAGAAGGTAGAATACAATAATCACATGGGATATTCTTGCTTAGCCCATCCCGTGTACCGAACAATCATAACTAAGGAATCATTAGTTACTAATTTGAAGCTGTTGAAAGTCTGTTGTTGTTAATGTATGTAAGGTGTTTGTTAAAATGCCTAAATGAGTTTTAGAACACGAAAACATATTTCTGTTAGTTTCTTTGTTCTCGGGTGAACAAGGTATCACTTAATTGTAGATGGTTTACTTACCAATTTTGGGAAGTTCGACTGGCTTTATTGGATACCGTATACTCTTGCAAAATGGTGCTTCTAAAGCGTGGATAATATTGTTTATTTGTGTTTAGAGTAGTGGTTAATCATTCATTGATCTTGTTGGCTTATTGCTTTTTAGTGCCAGGCCGAGTCAGCTACATTCGCGAAGATGTGTAGACAAACCAGCTAACTTTCCTTACAAGAACTTGTATGACACTTGCAGTTAGGATATACTGGTATGAGTAATCATTATCAGCCAAAATGAAGATAATTTAGGATCAGAAATTGGTAAACATGTACTAGAGAATCTTTTGAAGTATTGCTACGAGAAACCTTAGACAAGTCAATATTTAAAAGAGAGCTATGTCATGAAATTCCGAGCTGGTTTGAAAGGACGGATCATGTATTGGGAAGTCATTGGACTTGTTTCCTGATATGAGGAATGGAAAGAATGATATGGCATTTTTAAAATTCTAGATGATTCTAAAAGCAGTTAGCGAAACTCATTCTGTCCTGACGCCCTTAATGCAAAAGTGCAGAACTCTCAACCATCTAAAAGAGCTCCATTGCCAACTCCTCAAACTCTACCTCCCTGAAACCCCATCAGCCATTGCTCCCCTTCTTTCATTTGCTGTGAATTCTAGGATTCCTTCTTTCTTCAACTATTCACGTATTGTGTTTCAAAATCTTGGCTACCAAAGTACTTTTTTGTGCAATACCATGATCAGAGGATACATGCAATCAGAAATGCCGATACCAGCAATTATATGCTACAAAGACATGCTGAGAGATAAGCTTATTGTAAATAATTATACCATCCCACCATTGATAAAGGCTTGTTCAATGGTTTTAAATGAGTTTGGGCAACTTGGGTTTTCAGTCCATGCCCATTCACTGAAATTGGGATTACAAAATGACCGGTTTATTGTTGCAGCATTGATTGAACTTTATTCCCTAAATCTCGAGATGGACAGAGCACGTATGTTGTTTGATGAAATTCCTTACAGAGATGTGGTTTTGTTTACTACCATGATTGATGGATACGGGAAAATAGGGGAGGTGGGAAAAGCCAGATTGTTGTTTGAAGAAATGCCGGAGAGAAATGTGATTTCTTGGAGTGCAATGATGGCAGCATATTCACGGGCTAGTGATTTTAAGGAGGTTCTTTGCTTGTATCGGAGGATGGAAGAAAACGGTCTTAAGCCCAATGAGTCTGTTCTTGTTAGTGTCCTCACGGCTTGTGCTCATCTAGGTGCCTTAGCACAAGGTTTTTGGGTACATTCATTGGCTAAGCATTATAATTATGAGTCGAACCCAATATTGGCTACCGCATTGGTTGACATGTACTCTAAATGTGGGAGAATGGAGTTGGCTTCATCAGTCTTTAAAGAGATGACTTATAAGGACACTGGAGCATGGAATGCCATCATATCAGGCTTTGCAATGAACGGAGATGCAATGAAATCCATTCAATTGTTCTATAGGATGTTAGCAAGTGGGAATCAACCAAATGAAACTACATTTGTTGCTGTGCTCTCTGCTTGCACTCATGCAAATATGGTTGACAAAGGTCTTTCACTGTTTGAAAGAATGGGCAATGTTTATGGGGTTGAACCCAGGTTTGAGCATCGTGCATGTGTGGTAGACCTGTTAGCAAGAGCTGGTAAGCTCGAGGATGCTGAGAAGTTCATTGATGAGAACATGGGAGGGCTAGAGAAAGGGGATGCTAACGTGTGGGGAGCTTTACTTGGTGCTTGTAGGGTCTACGGTGATCTTAAAGTAGGTGATAGAATATGGAGAAAGTTGTCTAACATGAAGGTAGCTGACTATGGTACTTACATACTTGCATACAACATGTACAAGGAAGCTGGTTGGGAAATTGAAGCCAACTGTGTTAGGAAATTGATTGAGCAGATGAGAATAAAGAAGCAGCCTGGATGTAGTGTCGTAGAGGTAAATGGTGTGGTTAAAGAATTCCTCGTGAGTGATCTTTTACATCCCAAGTCACGACTAGTCCACGACGTGCTTGAGTCCTTACCTAATGTAATGCATCTTATTGATTGAGCATGATGTCGTATGGTCAGATTATAGACAAAAGTATTGGTTTCTCTTCGTTTTTATGTATTCTGAAGCTAGAATTGCTCCATGTTATGTAAAATGGCCAGTGGATATTGGTAATGAGATCAAGAATGGTTCTTATGCAGAGCTATTTGGTTCCCAAGATTGCTCCAACTCCATGAATTAAGGGGTTGTTTGGTAGTTGATTTGGAGGTGAGGTATGCATGTATTAAATATTGCATAAGTAATACTACATTTGGTAGTTGGTTAGGAGGTGAGTTAGTCATGTATAAAATTAATACGGTGTTTGGTTTGAAATTTAGAAAGCCACATGCATGACTAATACATGTTTAAGTTGTAAGGGGCCGTTTAGTTACTGTATAAGTTGCATTTTATCCATGTATAAAAAGTTGCATTACTTTTACCATGTTTGGTAGAAATTTTGTACAGGTGGAAAAGTCAACATAACTTATACCATGTTTGGTTGGTAGAATTTTAAATGTTGTATAAAAGTTATTCATGTATTAATTTTATACGGTGTTTGGTTGTGTTTTTTGTAGTCCTACATAATTAATACCAACATAACTTATGAGGGAATCTATGTATAAGTTATGCAGGGTAGAAGGTGGAATAAGTTATGCAGCCGTAGGGGTGTTCATGGTTTGGATAAAAACCGATTCAAACCGAAAAACCAAACCAAACCGATTAAATGAACCGATTTAATTTGGGTTTTGGTTTGGTTTGGTTTTAGATTGTTAAGAACCGATAGTATTTGGTTTGGCTATGGTTTTGTTCGAAAAAAATCGAAGAAAT